CCACAAGAAAACCAGAGAAATCTGCCCAGAGAGGGCACTCCTTTACCCACTTGTGTCCACGGTGCACGTGAGCACGTACCCATGGAGGTGTGTAAGCCAGCCCTCCCAGCCTTGATATTCCCCCATTTTATTTTTCTTAATTTTATTTATTTTTGAGAGAGACATCACAAGGGGGGGGGCAGAGAGAGAGAGGGGGCCAGAGGATGTGAAGGGGGCTCTGTACTGATAGCAGAGAGCCTGATGCAGGGCTCGAACTCAAGAACTGTGAGATCGTGGCTGGGGCAGAAGTTGGATGCCTTAACAGACTGAGCCACCCAGGGGCCCCTATATCTCCCTGTTTTAGACAACCAACGTTTTAATTGCCTGTTCCTAGTCTCTATCAGACTAGTCTCGGAGGAGGATGGCTCTCTGCCCCTTGTTGGACATTTTGGGCTGTAAACGGTGGTCCTTGGTCCGCAGAAACGGCGGCTGGCGGTGCACTCTTCTCCCTTCTGGGCCCTCGGAGCATTCGCGTCCAGCACTGGGGCAGCAGAGCCCCATCCAGAGCCCCTTCCGGTCAGGACCCACCTGTAGCCTCCAGGATTCCCTGCGTCAGTGTGACATGCCGGCATAGGGAACCTGCCACCTGGCCACCCGCACCCTCCGTCTCCTGCCGGAAGACAGAACAGCTCCTCCTGGCATTTTGGGCCTTAGAGGCCACAAGGGACTATGTGTGGATTCGGCCCATTTCCTGGACCCAGGCGGCCACTTTCAGCTTGTCGATTGCAGTCACCTTCCAAACCGGGACGGCAGTTCTTCATGGGCATCGGCATGTCCCGCTTTGTTTAATGCACCCTTGAATTCCCACAGGGGTCTCCCCAGGACTGAGCCCCGCACGGGCTGGGCTTCCAGAGCCCTCCCGCCTAGGAGTCAGTAGGAACCACAACATAAGGGCCTTTACTGTTCAAGCCTTCCTTCACAGCTGGAGAAACAGCTCGCAGTTCAGCCCACGGAACTGACTTGTTTGGACCTTCTTTGATCGGAGCGGTGGCCTTCCAAACAGGATGTCCTCCGTTTGCTTGGGAGGTGCCATCCACGGAGCAGGCGGCTCTTTGTTGGCCAGTGGAGAGCGGTTTGGGTGGGGGCGGGGTGGGGGGGACTGAGCAAGTGAGCACAAAACTCAGCAGTCCGCACTTCCGGAGTCTCTGAGCTTTGTGGGAGCGCCCCTCATATGGAAATTCTCTAGTCCAAACTCCCAGTGGCCGGCTGGGGTGGGGGTGGGGGCGCTCACAGGCTTTTGCATGACGCCTAGAAATTGTCCCCTCCCGGGCTCCAGCCTCCCCTCCACACTGGCTGGCCTGTGTTCCTACTCACCCTGAGGCCTTCTTGCAGCAGTAGGTAGAGGAAAGATCTCTCAGTCAGACTCCGGGTCTGTCCCTGTCCCCAGATTACAATCTGGTAAAAGAGATCGACCACGTCACACAACGCCCGTTCCAACAGACCCATTCTCCGCTTTTGCCCTGATTCCCTCCACCCTCAATCCCCGGTAACCTCCGTTCAGGTACAATTCTAAGTTGGGGGGTGGTTCCCAGTGTGGCATAACATCCATTTGCATAAAACACGAGGCAAAGGAGACGACCTCTTTCCGTCACGCCTGCCCACACGTCCCCGTGTCCACAATCTGACCCGCGCTTACATTTCCACCTTCTGCCTGATTGTGGCCCAGCTCAGGGATTCACCGATGGGATTTGGTGCCGCCGTGCATGGGGCTCCTATGTCAACGAGTCCAGGAAGCTTGTCTCCTCCGGCCTTGATCATTCATGCAAAAGGCCTTGCATCAGAGAAGATTCTGGAAAGACGGTGGTGTAGGAAGCACTGGAAATTGTCTCCCCACCTGGACAACACCTGCACTGATAGAATTTCTCCACAGGAACTGTTTTGGGATTTCAGGCTCCTGTTGGAGGCTTACAAGTTGCAGGAGAGGCTCTGGAGGGCAAACCACCACAGAGCTCGGCTCTTGGCAGAGCCTGCAAACAGCTTGCCCGAACCAGGGGGTCCAGGGGAGCGGTAATGACCCTGCCCTCCAAGTATCAGGAAATCAGGAATCTCAACACGGGGGTGCAAAGAAGTGGGTGGCCACTGGTGCCCCTCCCACACTGTCTCACATCCCCATCTCTCTGGCCGGTGTGACTTCCAGGGGAGTCAAAGGGCTGGCTCTTCTACCCCCTCTTCATTTTTTACTTTTCTGTTTGCAGGAGCCAGACACTAAACACTAGAGAGCAACTGCATATAATAGAAACAGAGAAGAGAGTAGAATGTTGGTTACCAGGGGCTGGGTTGTAGGGGAACTGGGGAGATGTCGTTTAAGGTCACAAACTTGCAACTAGAACATACATAAGCCCTGAAGTTCTAAAGCCCAGGACAGGAATATGGTCAATAATCCTGTATTGTAAACTTCAAAATTAAAAAAAAAATTAGTCTCAAAAATAAATAAACATTAAACAAAAAACTAGAGGCACCTGAGTGGCTCAGTTGGTTGAGCACCTGACTCTTTGATTTTGGCTTAGGTCTTGATCCCAGGGTTGTGGGATGGAGCCCTACATCAGACTCCATGCTGAGTGTGGTGCCTGCTTAAGATTTTCTCTCTAGGGGCGCCTGGGTGATTCAGTAGGTTAAGTGTCAGACTTCGGCTCAGGTCATGATCTCACGGTTCGTGGGTTCAAGCCCCGCGTCGGGCTCTGTCCTGACAGCTCAGAGCCTGGAGCCTGTTTCAGATTCTGTGTCTCCCTCTCTCTTTGCCCCTCCCCTGCTCACTCTCTCATAAATAAATAAATGTTAAAAAAATTTAGAATAAAAAACTAAGATTCTCTCCCTCTGCCCCACTCATGAGCTCTCTCTCTAAAAAATTTTAAACAAACAAGCAGTACTCCCACACCCCCCAAAAAACACAATAAAAAAAAAAAAACTATACAGGGAAAGTGAGAAAGTGAGGGCACATGTCCAAGAAAGGGCTCAGACGAGACCTGGGGAGACAGTACGTTTACCCGCCCCCCCCCCCACAAAAGCTGCTCCCTCACAGAGACCCACAGAGACCACCCACAACATTCCCAAAATCAACAACAATCAACAAACACAAAACAAGGGGGAAAGGAGAATCTGGTGCCCAGAGCTGACATTATTATACTCAAATGTCTAGTGTTCCACCAAAAGAGCACAAGGCTGTCTGGCTCAGTTGGTAGAGCATGGTGCCCCTGATCTCAGGGTCGTGAGCTCTAGCCCCATGCTGGGCGCTGGACACACAGATTACTTAAAAAAAATTTTTTTTTTTTTACTTTATTTCTGAGAGAAAGAGAGACAGTGTGAGCAAGGGAGGGTCAGAGAGAGAGGGAGATACAGAATCTGAAACAGGCTCCAGGCTCTGAGCTGGCTGTCAGCACAGAGCCCAATGCAGGGCTCAAACCCACGAACCATGAAATCATGACCTGAGCCAAAGTCGGATGCTTAACTGACTGAGCCACCCAGGCGCCCCACAGAGGTCACTTAAAAAAAAAAAAAATCATAAGACACATACAAGGCAAAGGAAAGTATGCTCCACCCAAAGTAAAAAATATATAAATCAACAGAAACTGTACCCAAAAACGACCTGATGGCAGAGAAACACTATCAGATTCTACTTCTGTGAGGTGCTCAAGTGTCATCAAAACCACAGAGAGAGACAGCAGATGGTGGATGCCAGGGGCCAAGGGACAGGAGGTGGGGAGTCACTGTTTAATGGAGTCAGAGGCTTGGTTTGCCAAGATGGGGAGGTTCTGGGGGTGATGGTGTTGAGGGTTGTGCAGCAATGGGATTGTAGTTAATACCACCGAAGAGGGGCGAGATGTGTGTGTATCCTACCCCAGGAAGAAGATCTGTGCGAAAAACACACACAAAAAGCCAGGCCCCAGAACAGATCAGACTCTCCGGTTCCGCTGGTATTGTAAGTGCGATCTAATCTCTACTGATCATCAGAAGTTGCCTGGGCAGGGCTAGGGGGCGCGGAGGCGATGGGTACCATGATTTTAGGAGCAAAGCATACCAAATCATATGCTTTATGTTTCTTTTAATTTTTTAAAAATATTTATTTTTGAGAGAGAGAGACATGGAGCGGGAGTAGGGGAGGGGCAGAGAGAGAGAGAGAGAGGGAGACACAGAATCCGAAGCAGGCTCCGGGCTCTGAGCTGTCAGCACAGAGTCTGAGGTGGGGCTCAAACTCACCAACTGAGAGATCATATCCTGAGCTGAAGTCAAGGCTTAACCGACTGAGCCCCCTGGTGTCCCTATTCATCTTATTCCTTAATAACTGTTTACATTTTCCACCTTGTCAGCCTCTCAATTCTCCCCTCTGGTTTTCCTCATTTTCTCATTAAATTAACCTAATATTAAGAAAAAAAATTTTTTTTTAAATTTCATATAATGTCTATGTCCAACACAGGGCTGGAACTCACAACCCCGAGATCAAGAGTCTCATGCTCTACGGACCGAGGCAGCCGAATGCCCCACATTTTTGTTCTTACTAAGACCCAGGAGAGGAAGCAGAGACATCAAATGCAGGAAGACTTCCCAAACTGCCCTTCGGCTTTGCGGCAGAAGGTTCTGTGGGGATCCCCAAGCAAAAGGGCATCCTTTAACCACAACATTTACTGTGACCCGGGCGCGGAACACCCAGGCATCTTGAAGCGGGTCCCACACGGCTTATACCCAAGCTGTCTCACCTGGGGCGCTCCACCTGGCATTTATAGGACAAAGAGACAGCCCTCCTCCCGGGGGTAAATGGACCCTACAGGGGCTTTCTCCCACCCCACCCCACCCCCCAGGGGATTTCACCCCATGTGCCAGGCCGCTGCTTCCGCAGGGGTAACCTCCGTGTGCTACTCCTGAGGGATCCCGTGCGACCGTCTGTGGGTGTTGAATAGGGAGCCGTGGGTCCTGACTCAACCCAAATGTGCTGCGCGGCACCCCTGGCCACAGCCACAGCCCCCACATCAATCACTCTCAAAATCCGTGTCGCTGAGGCTCTCCAGGAAGCCGATGATAGAGATCTACAAAATGAAACAACGCCTTTGCACTGTGGTCCCGGATTCCAGTGGCTTCTTGGTATCCTGTCTCCAATGCTGATGACCTCCTTGGTGAGCAGAGGTCTAAGGGGTACCTTCTTTTGTCGCCCGTATAACTTCTCCCTTGGGGAGGGGCCTTTATGCCAGTGGCCAGAGCTTAGACTCACCCAAATCCAAGCTTGGTCTAGCAGCTAGGTCTGACCCAGACCTTTTAACTGCATTTTAGCTATTTTCTCAAAGTTTTTAACTTTATTTTTGAGAAAGAGAGAGATGGGGCAGAAGGACAGAGAGAGAGACAGTCTCAAGCAGGCTTCCTCGCCCAGCACAGAGCCCCACACAGGGCTCGATTCCACGACTCTGAGCTCATGACCTGAGCGGAAATCAAGACTCAGACGCTCAACTGACTTGAGCCTCCCAGGCGCCCCCTGCAATTTAACTGTTACAGATAATCAAGGGATTGAATATTTTGCCTTTTTCTTAGTGGTTTGCATTTCCTTCTGCAGCCAGTCAAGCAGCTCTTGGGGAGTCTCCAGATTCCATCGGTAACTTTTACCTCCAGTAACTGTGGGCCGACCCCGGCTCTACACTGCGAGGGAGCACCCAGACGCTGGGATTCAGAGGCTTCTCTTCCCCCCACCCTTTCTGTCTTTCTCTTCCCAAACCACGTTTCCGTTTATTGTCAAGTTGGTTTCCATATAACACCCAGTGCTCATCCCCACAGGTGCCCTCCTCCATGCCCATCACCCCCCCACTCCTGCACCCATCACTCCTCAGTTTGTTCTCAGCATTCAAGAGTCTCTCATGGTTTGCCTCTCTCCCTCTCCCCCACCATTTCCCCCCTTCTTCTCCCCCATGGACCACGTTTCTGTTTCTGTGAGTCAGGGCTGTTCTAGCAAATCCCACTTCACCGACACCAGCTGTAATGAAAACCTCGAGTCCCTAGCGCCTTTCTTTACAATGGTTTTAGAGGGCGCCTGGGAGGCTCAGTTGGTTAAGCATCCAACTCAGGTCAAGATCTTTTGTGTTCATCGGGCTCGGTGCTGACAGCTCAGAGCCTGGAACCTGCTTCGGAGTCTGTGTCTCTCTTTCTGCCCTTCCTCTGCTCTTTCTCTCTCTGTCCCTCTCTCTCAAAAGTAAATAAACATTTAACAATGTAAATAAAATAAAAAAAGGTTTTAGGAGCTTTGTTACAGCAACTAGGGGTATATATATTTCATGCCATATTTGCCGTTGGACTGGCAGAAATTTAAAAGTCTGATAATGCCAAGTTGTAGCCAGGTGTGAGGCAGGTGAAATTCATTATGGGATCAAATCTTCACATAAAGATTCAGGTTCAGGTGTGGGGCACCTGGTGGCTCAGTCAGTTAAGTGTCTGACTTCAGCTCAGGTCATGATCTCGAAATCTGTAGGTTCAAGCCCCACGTTGGTCTCTGGGCTGACAGCGTGCAGCCTGGAGGATGCTTCAGATTCTATGTCTCCCTCTCTCTCTGCCTCTGCCCCCTTCATGTTCTCTCTCTCTGTCTCTCTGATATATAAACACTAAAATTTAAAAAAAAACTTGGTTCAGATGTGAAGACTGATAAGGTCACATAAGAGAAGGTGACAAGATTGATTACTCACATAATGAGGTTTCCTAAGGGGGACAGGGCCAGGTCCCAAGCTGGTCTGAAAGGGCTTGAGAGAGCAAGGAGGGACTTTCAATGTGGTGAGCGCAAGAGGCTGAGCCTAGGGCCCCTCCACCCTGGCCACGGGCTTCCTGATTTAAATATCCCTCCAGGGCCAGAGAGAGAGAGAGAGCCTTACTATCAGCTTGCCCAGAGGTGGAGCCCAAGGGGAAGAGGAAGGTATGAGGCTTTAAGGCTGTCAACCATCAAACATCAAATTGGAGTCAGGCTCTTTATTATGGAGTGTAAATTAATACCTACACTTTGCAAACTAGTTTGGCAATATTTAATAAGGCCAAAGAGCATACCCTTTGTGTAGATAAAAGATGGCTGCAAATTCTTTGCTACTCCTCCCGTTGAGAGGTGGAATCAAATCCTCTCTCCTGGAGACTGGGTTGGGCCCAGTGACTCACTTGATCAATAGACTGCCACAGAGGCAATGTTCATCCACCTGAGGTTCTCAACCTTCAAGGCTGAGTCTTAAGAAGACTTGCAGCCTGTGCCCAGGCCTCCTGGAACCTTGCGTGGGGGGAAGTCAGCTCCGTGTGGCTGTCCCAGACAGCCACACTGTCAGGACAAGCATGCAGGTCACAGGCAGAGGGCCACTGGTGACAGAATGCTGTCCCACCCTGGCTGGTCCCATGATCCAGCCATTCAGCCCTGGCGCCAGATTCAGGAGCGAAGACTTCTGATGACCCAGTCCCGGCCACTGTGTACCTGCGACTACGTGAACTTGCTGCTCAGCGGCAGAACCTAGCCCACTGTTAAGAGTAGGGAACAGAGGGGCGCCTGGGTGGCTCAGTCGGTTAAGCGTCCGACTTTGGCTCAGGTCACGATCTCGCGATTCGTGGGTTCGAGCCCAGCGTCGGGCTCTGTGCCGACTGCCAGCTCAGAGCCTGGAGCCTGTTTCAGAGTCTGTATCTCCCTCTCTCTCTGACCCTCCCCTGCTCATGCTGTCTCTCTCTCTCCTAGAAATAAAAATAAAAATATTTAAAAAAAAAAAAGAATAGGGAACAGAAAACAATTGTTTCAAGCCTTCTAAGTTGTGGGATGATCATTATGCAGAAGAAAGCTGCAACAACCCTCCCCCCCCCACACACACACTGATTCCACTTCTGGATGGATCCCAGCATGAGATTCCCACCCACGTGTCCGCGAAGGTCTGTGTACAAGGATGTGCATTAGCATGTTGTTTATAACACTGGAAAAGCACCAAGAGACGAAGTTCTTCATCGATAGGAGAGAAATAAATCGGGGCATAAACATTGGATGAAATACCATACAGCTGTTAACAAACTAAATCCAAACACATCATGGGGATAAATCTCAGAAACATTCTGGAAAACAGCTGCCTGGAGTTTTGTGGGTTTTCTTAAGATTTTTTTTAAATTTGTAACTAATCTCCACTCTCATCACGGGGCTCAAACTCACAATCCCAAGAACAAAAACTGGATGCCCAGGGGGAGGGGCTAAATGGGTGAGGGGCATTTAAGGAGGGCACTTGTCATGGTGAGCACTGGGTGTTATATGTAAGTGATGAATCACTAAATTCTACTCCAGAAACCAATTACACTATAAGTTAACTAACTAGAGCTTAAAATTGGCGGGGGGTGGGGGGGGGAAGAGTCAGATACTCTACTGATTAGGCTAGCCAGACCCCCCCTTCCTGGAGTCTTTTTTTTTTCCTAATGATTTTATTTTTAAGTAATCTCTACACCCAGCCTGGGGCTTGAACTTATAACCCTGAGATCAAGAATCACATGCTTCACCGACTGAGCCAACCACGCACTCCATGGAGTCCTGAAGAAAAAAACAAAAATCAAACCAAAAAATCGATGTCCTGAGAGACACATAAGAAGATAAGCAGACTATTTTACTTAAAAAAATTTTTTTAGGGGCACCTGAGTGGCTCAGTCAGTTAAGTGTCCGACTTCAGCTCAGGTCACGATCTCATAGTTCATGGGTTTGAGCCCCGTGTCGGGCTCTGTGCTGGCAGCTAGCTCAGAGCCTGGACCCTGCTTCAGACTATGTGCCTTCCTCTCTCTCTGACCCTCCCCTGCTCACGCTGTCTCTCTCTCTCAGAAATAAATAAAACATTAAAAAATTTTAAAAAAATTTTAATGTATGTTATTTTTGAGAAAGAGACAGAGTGCGAGCAGGGGAGGGGCAGAGAGAGAGAGAGAGAGAGACAGAATCTGAAGCAGGCTCCAGGCTCTGAGCTGTCAACACAGAGCCCGACACGGGGCTCAAACCCACAAACCGTGAGATCATGACCAGAGCCAAAGTTGGATGCTTAATTGACAGAGCCACCTGGGAGCCCCTACTTTTTTTTTTTTAAATAGGCCTACATCCAATGTGGGGCTCGAGCCCACCACCCCAAGATCAAGAGTCACAGCCTCCACCGACTGAGCCAGGCAGGCACCCCAACAAGTGGGCTACTTTACATTGAAGGAGACTCGAGAAAGACAGCTAAATGCAATATGCATCCTTGATTTCATCCTGGATGAAAGAAAAAATCATCTCACCAGGGCATTACTGGAACATTCGAACAGGAGCTGTGTACTGGGTAAGATTATTTTGTGCATTTTATCACTGTTCAGTTTGTCACAGGTCTGTGATTACAGAGGAGAGTGTCTGCACCCTCAGTATATTCGGGCCGAGGTAGTCAATGGTTTAGCAAGATGTGTGCGGGCAAGCATAGTGTAAGAGAGAGGAGGCATGCGTGGCAAAGGTTCACAATTGTGAACCTGCATGAAAGGTATTTATTATATTATCCCTGCAACTCGGCTTAGGTTTGAAAATTTTCCATTGATTCTACGGATACCTACAGCCTGGATGCGTCTCAGAAGCATTATGTGAAGTCAAGGAAGCCAGGCCCAAGAGACCATGTGCTACACATGATTCCATGGAGGAAGCATTCTGGAAAAGACAAAATGATAGTGACACAAAGCCCATCAGTGATCGCCGGGGGCTGGAGGTGGGAGAGAGACTGCAAAGGGGCTTGGGGCACCTTGGGGGCGCCAAAGTGCTCTGTCCCATGACTGTGGGAGAAGTTACGCTACCACATGCTTTTGTTAAAAACTCACCAAATGAGGGACGCCCGGGTGGTAAGGGCGGTTAAGCATCTGATTGCAGGTCAGGTCGTGATCTCCTGGTTTGTGAGTTTGAGCCCCGCATTGGGCTCTCTGCAGTCAGCGTGGAGCCCCTAGGGACCCTGTCTCTACTCACTCTCTGCCCCTCCCTCACTCATGCTTGCTCACTCTCTCTGTCAAAATAAATAAACATCAAGAAAAAAAATTTAAGCTCATCAAATGAAACACTTAAACTGGGTGAATTTTGGGGCGCCTGGGTGGCTTAGTCGGTTAAGCGTCCGACTTTCGCTTAGGTCATGATCTCACGGTTCGTGGGTTCGAGCCCCGCGTCGGGCTCTGTGCTGACTGCCAGCTCAGAGCCTGGAGCCTGTTTCAGTCTGTGACTCCCTCTCTCTCTGACCCTCCCCTGCTCACGCTCTCTCTCTCTCTCTCTAGAAATAAATTAAAAAAAACTTGAAAAAAAATTTAAAAAAAAAAAACTGGGTGAATTTTATTGTGTAAAAATCATTCCTCTTAGAGGGCTGTGTTGTTTCTCCAAACAACAGAGGTCCGCCCGGGGAAGTGCTACTTCTTGCAAATAGTTTTCCCAGTTGTAAGTGGGCTTCACTTCCCTGAGTGGTGTCCTTATAAGAGAAAGCAGAGAGAGACCTGAGACCTAGGGACACAGCGAAGACCCTGCAGGGGAGGCCATGCGAAGAGGCAGGGGGACACTGATCGATCCAAGCCGGGGAGCTGCAAGGAGCTTTGGCAGCCAGCAGGAGCTAGGAGGCAGGCCTGGAAAAGATATCGTCCTCAGAGCCTCCGCAAGGAACCATCGCTTTCCCCACTTTGACTTTGGACTTCTGGCCCCCAGAGCGATGAGACAATAAATTTTGTTGTTTAAACCGCCCAGTCGGTAGTCAGTAATTTGTTACAGCAGCTTTAAGAAACAAATACCTCCTTCAAGGAAGCTGAATTTTTTTGGCTTTTTGGTTTTGTTTTTTGGTTTTTTAAGATGGGAAGAAACTTGGAAACTTTGGGGTTAAATGGAAAAAGCAAACTGCAGAAGAATGCGTTGAGTGTGCAATATTTTATAGAGAGGTTTAAAGTGCCCCGAACAATACTACTTATTGTTTGTAGACTTTGTATATGTCGTAAAAGCCTGGGGGCGGCTTGGTCTGGGCCGGCGCCATTCCCACGGGGTTACCCCTGTGGCGGGGGGTGTTCTTCGGGCCTCTGGACACCAGCGTGGACGGCCCACAGCTCTGTGAGTTCTGCGAAACTCACAGGGAGGAGACCCTGGAGCCAAGACTTGGCACTGCAGGGCCCACCTGCTATTGGGAAGGTGGGGGAGAAAGTTCTAGGGTGAGAGTGGGCCTGGAGGTTCCAGGAAACTGGCTTGTTTGAGGGCCGAATTGTCTTCTCCTCCCTTAACTGGGTAGGTCTCCCGCTGGCTGGGGTTTCCCTGGGACCCCTCTGTCCCTCCTACCCATTTTCCTGCTCGAAACAGCATGGAGGCTAGGGGAGGGGAGCTGGGGGCCAGAAGGGGCTGTGATGTCAGCGCTCGGGTCCATCAGGACAGCTGGAGGCCGGAGTTCCTGGGTCCAGAGGAGGCAGGGGACCGATTCAGACGTCCATAGAGTGACGAGGGCTGGGACTGGGAGCCAGGCACGCTGGGACGAGGGGCCTCCCTGAGCTGGCTTCTGGTCTGTGAATGATACGGCGCCACGGGGTGGCTGTGAGGAGGAAGTACTGGAACGCGTGTGGCAAGTCACTTCCGTGCCCGGCTATGGCCACGCAGAGGGCCACTAGCAGGGCTAAGTGCTGGCACTTGACCCTTATTTAAGCCTCTCTATAAGCTAGGCACTGTTATCATCCTCATTTTACAGATGGGAAGAGCGAGGGCTGCAGAGGTTAATGGGCAAGATGACACAGGTGTGCACAGCTACTTTGTGGCCAATCTGGGATTTGGCCTGAAGCCCTGTGATGCCAGGGCCCGTGAGCCAAGCTCCTTTGTTGTATTGCTTTCCTGGTGCGTTTCTGGGGTCCAGGTCTATCCTCTCCCAGCTCCTGGGTGGCCTGTGAACCTCCTGGGAGCAAGGCCTTGACCACTTCATCACCGGGTGAGCCCACCCCCCCACGTGGCAGAGGGCGCCCCAGAGAAGGTGTGCTACATATGGGTGTGGCTCGTGCTCAGTGTGACCGTGCCATTTGGAGGGGGTCAGCTGGTGGCACCAAGGGGAGACGGAGGCGTCTCCGAGGTCCACCGGGCTGTCACCACAGGTGCCGTGGGGAAACATGGTGGCCTTACGAGGCCATGCAGCCCTCAGACCTCTTCGCAAAGGAAGTTGGCTCCCCTACTCTGTGTTGGCTGGAAACCTTGTCCCAGCCCTCCCGGGACTCAGGAGCCCCAGCCCCTGGACCACCCTTCCCACGAGTCCTTGCCCCCGTCTTCCCACAAGTCACCTTCCTCTTATTTCTCTAGGATCCAGTCCCCAAGACACAGGAGTCCTGACCGCCAGCCAGAGTGTGTGGGACCCGGCTCGGCCCAGCTGATAAACGCCAATAATGCACATCTCTGCCCCACTTCACATTCAAGAATGTCATGTCAGTAGCTTGGAATCAGTCACGGAGGGAGCACTTCTCCCTCAGAAATTGCCAAGTGCAACAGTCTGGGGCTTTCCATTCCCCCAGAAAGCCTGCTGTTGAGTAGCTCCGGGCACAGCGCTCTTCCGTCCCCCCGGGGGGCCTGCTCACCAGGCCAGGAGCCTCCTGGGCGCCTGAGGGGGCATCGCCCACATGCTCAGGCTGCGCTTGGGCGGGGCCGGCCCTGGATCCTCCTGGTCTCCATACCGAGGCCTCTGGCCCCGGCCTGTGCAACCTCGAGAAGGAGAGCCCCGAGTTCCAGCCACACGGGGAAGGTCTCAGCGCCGGAGGCAGGGCAGGAGCTCACACCCTCAAGTCACACTTCCGTGGCTCGCACTCAAGCTCCGTCGGTGTGAACCCATGCGAACTAGAGCCTCCCTCAGCCTCAGTTTCCTCATCTGTAAAAGGAGGCTAATAGTAGTTCGTGTCTCATCAGGGAGTCATAAAAGTAAACAAGTTGTGCCTATAAAGGAGCTTACTTAGCAGAGCGTTCTCTATGTTAGATTTGTCCTTGTTACCAGTCTTGGTAATGCCCTGTCCCGCAGGGCGGTTGTGAGGGGAAAGGAGCTGACGTCCGTGCTCAGCCTGGCATCTGCATACAGCAGGTGCTCCATTAATGGGGCCTGTCGTTTCTGCCAAGATGAGTCGGTGCCTCAGACCTGGGTGGGGGGGACTCTCCTTCAGCCCCGCCCGGCCATTCCGGCCACCAGGGGGCGCCCCAGGCCCGCCCGCGGCACCGCCCCCTCACCTGTGCGGGCCCGGCACCTGGCGCCGCCTCCGGAAGAGGGGATCCGGGACCGCGGGGACCTAGGAGGGAGCCCGGCGTCGGCGGGTAAGAGCCTAGGGGCTCCGGGGGCGGGGGCCCTTCGAGCTTCTGGCAGGACAGGGTCGGGGCGAGTGGGCGCCGCGGGGGGTGGGGTGGCGGGGGCTGCCGCCTGGGGTCGGCCGGGCGGGGGTGGGGGGCGGGGGAGGCGTCGGCAGGGACGACAGTGGACGCCTGGGGCCGGGGTGGGGGGTGGGGCGTCGAGGAGCCGGGGTCCCAAACGCCCGGGGGCCGAGGTGCTAGAGAGCAGCTCAGTGCGAGGAGGCGGGAGGAGGCGCGCCGCTCCCGGGTCTCCAGAGCGGGGTCGGCCCACAGGGGCCTCCTCACGGAGACTCTTGGTCCCCGGGGGTCGCTGGGCTGGGAGGCCGCGACTAGAGTCCCGCGGGTAGGGCCGGGCTTGGACACCTGGAGAGGACAGAAGTGTGCATGTGTGTGTCTGTGTGTGCGTGTGTGTGTGCGTGTGTGTCTGTGTGTGCGTGTCTGTGTGTGCGTGTGTGTGTCTGTGTGTAGGGAGGGGGGCCCCCAGAAGGCTAGAGGTGGAGAGGGCGCCTCCGAAGCCTGGCGGGCCTTTCCCCGGAGCCCCTGAACCGCCTGCCCGGGCCGCCCGCCCTCGGAGGGCGCCACCAGGCTCCCATCCCCAGGGGCGGGCCGGGAAGTAAACAGAAACCTGGCGAGCAGGGCCTCAGTCGGCCTGCACAACTTGTTACCTTGCCCTGCCCTGGGCCTGACCCCCACGCCCTGGGAAGCTGCGGCCAGCACTCCAGAATGGGGGCACCGGGCCTGGGCAGCTGGGTTCCCAGGCATGGGGACCAAAGCACCTGGATCTGGAGAAAATAGGAAAACGAGGCCAGGATACCTAGGGGGGTAGGGGCTGGGGACCTGGGCTTCTAGAAGAGGAGGGGACTGGGTCTCTTGGGGCAAAGTGGTCAGGAGACCTTAATTCCCAAGGCCCTGTATTCTTGGGAGGGGAAGGGGCAGAACTCGGCCTTGAGTCCTGAGTCACTGAGAACTTGGTTTCTGGGAAGAGGTTCCTTGCCAGTGGGGTGCTGGGAGACAGAAGAGCTAAGGTCTGGGAAGAGGGGGGCAGTGACTCAGGGTGACACGGGGGGAATGGACACCTGGGGGTAGAGGATGTCAGCCAAAGGCAGCTCGTTTCCTTGTGCTTCCTGCCTCAGTTTACCCTGGGGACATTAACGGAGCTGGGTGGCCAAGACACAGATCATTAACCCTTCATGGCCCAGGAAGCCCTGGGTGCAGGATTGAGAGGGCTAGACCTTGACCAGCAGGGGGCAGGCGCCATCAGGCTGCGTTGTGGAGTGTCCTGCACCTGTCCCTGCTGACGCACCTGTGCCCGCTGACCCACCTGTCCCCGCTGACCCACCTGTCCCCACTGACGCACCTGTGCCCACTGACCGACCTGTCCCTACTGACGCACCTGTCCCCACTGACCCACCTGTCCCCGCTGACCCACCTGTCCCCACTGACCCACCTGTGCCCGCTGACCCACCTGTCCCCACTGACGCACCTGTGCCCACTGACCCACCTGTCCCTGCTGATCCACCTGTGCTCACAGATGCTGAAGGCACCATGAGCTCCCCGGAAGGGCCAAGCTTCCCATCGGGGCTGCTCTCAGGGGGCGCCTCCCCAAATGGCGATGAAGGCTTCTTCCCCTTCGTGCTGGAACGGCGGGACTCGTTCCTGGGAGGGGGCCCGGGGCCCGAGGAGCCCGAGGACCTGGCCCTGCAGCTGCAGCAGAAGGAGAAGGACTTGCTGCTGGCCGCAGAGCTCGGCAAGATGCTTCTGGAACGCAACGAGGAGCTACAGCGGCAGCTGGAGACATTGAGCGCCCAGCACTCAGAGCGTGAGGAAGTGAGCTGGCAGCAGGGGGCAGGGGTGGGCCCACAGCGGGCAGGGTCAAGGGTGAGCCGTGGAGGACAGGCAGATGGGCGGGTGGCAGACAGGCGGGGGGGGGGGGGAAGGAAAGCCGGACAAGGGGCCACCTCTGGAACAGCGCTTCACTGCTGAGCCCAGGGTCCCTGGTGCGACTCTCCAGTGGCGAGGACCGTGGGCTCTGAACTAGTCAAGATCTGGGTTCAGACCTGTGCTTCGCTGTGTGACCCCAGGCAAGCCCAGGGCAAGACTCTCTGAGTCTTGGGTCTGGCTTCTCAGCAGGAGGGCGCAACCCCCCCCCCCACCCCCACCCCCACCCCCCAGCCAGCAGCCTCCGTGAGGCCCCTCCCTGCCGGGCTCTGGGAGAAGCACTTTCTGTGGGTTGTCTTGGTCCCTTCTCAGTGGATCCTGTGAGGCAGGAACAGTTTCCACCCTCTGCCCAGGCTGCCCTTCCCCGCACTCTCGTTCTGGGGGGGGTCACACCTGGCCCACTACGTGCCCTGGACGCCACTGACTCCAGCAGCCATGTAGCCCAGCCACTGCCCTAAGATGGGCCTGGGGCACTTATGGTGCTCCCTCCTCCCCGGGCCACCTAACGGGCAACTCAGCATCAACATAACTGGCACTCTTGACTCTGTGACTCCGTCCCCCGTGGTCTTCCTCCCGCTTCCTGTCTCAGGACCAGGGCCTGAGCCTCTCACGCCCTCTCTCCTCCTACCTGTGCAAGCCCTGTTGACTTTTTCCTCTCAGCTGGATTCTGAATCCACCTACTTCCCATCGTCTCTGTAGCCTCCAAGCTGCCCCAGCCACGCAGCTGCCCCCTCACTCGTCCCCAGCTTCCGCCCTTGCCCCCTGGCGCCCATTCTCAGCACTCCACTCTGGGGGTAGGCAGAGGGGTCTTCAAATCTTTTTTTTTTTTTAATGTTTTATTTATTTCTAGGAGAGAGAGAGAGACAGCGTGAGCAGGGGAGGGTCAGAGAGAAAGGGAGTCACAGACTCTGAAACAGGCTCCAGGCTCTGAGCTGGCAGTCAGCACAGAGCCCGACTCGGGGCTCGAACCCACAAACCGCGAGATCATGACCTAAGCGAAAGTCGGACGTTCAACCGACTAAGCCACCCAGGCGCCCCTGCCAGAGAGTCTTTAAACTGTGAATCGGATCATTTCAGTCCTTACCCAAAATCTCCCAACAGGTCCCCATCACACTTGCGGTGACGCTGAAAGTCCCCGCCAGGCCTGCCCGTCCCCACATGCAGGCATGTGGGCCTCAGCTTGCTGGGCGCGCCGCCCTCCTGCCACGGGGCCCTTCTCAGTTTCTTGAGTAACCCACGCGTGTGCCCTCAGGGCCTTTGCACTGGTGGCAGCCCTCTTCCCTCTTGCCCTTTGGGTGTCCATTCAAACATCACTTGTCAAGGAACCCCCCGCCCACCCAACTCTTTCTCTTCAGGGTTTCTTTCTTTACAGTCCTCATGGTCCCTCTGAAATTACCCAGTTCAAGAGCGTGTCCATTTGCCTGTGCCTCTCTAGACTCTATGGTGCTGGAGGCGGGGAACTGGGTGGTCTTGCTGCCCGTAGATAGCCAGACCCCACGACAGGAGGCGCTCAGCAAATACTGGACAGGTGGCTGCTTGGCTGGCACTTGGAGAGGTGAAGGGACCTGTGTGACCACAGAGCAGCAGCAGAGCCGGGCACCAGGCAGGACAGCCGGGCCCTGGAGCCGGGGACTTAATCCTGGAGCTGTGTAGCCCCCATGGCATTTCGCTAAGGGCCTGGTTGCCTGGGTTGGAATCCTTGCCTCACTACTTTACTGTGTGTCCTTGGAGAAGGCATTTCGTCTCTCCGAGCCCCAGGTTCCTCGTATACAAAATCAGTACGTGAACAATTCTGCCTCTAGCTGATGAAATGAAAAGTGCCAGGAACGTGCTAGCACAGGCCCTGGCAGGCAGGAGAGCCGCTAATAATTGCAGCAGCTGTACGGGTAGCATCACCTTCCTGCTTTGAGAGTTTATAGAGTGGGGACCAGAGGCCGGCCGCCCCGTCTACCTGCCTCCCCACGCTGGGCACCCAGTGCGCCAAGAGCGTCCCCTTGCTGGTTGGACAGGTTTGGGGAAGGGCACGCAGAGGCATGGGGCCCAGGCGGGGCCGGCCGGGGTTAATTAGAGGGAGCTGGGGGAGAGGGGCTGAGCGGAGGCTGGGCAGAGGCTGAGCCTCCACGGCCCCCAGAACATTGGTGTGCGAGGTCATGGGCCGGGGCTTAAATTCTGCCAGACTCAGGCGCCAGAAACGGCGTCTGCGACCTCGGGTCCAGAAGCGCAGACAGCAGCCAGAGGTGAGCGGGCACCGGGGAGCCCCACTCCACCCCAGGCCCAGCCCAGCTCCTCCAACCTGGCCTGAGATCCCCTCCACCTCTCCTCCCTCCCTGCCCAGGCTCTGGTTTTCACCCTGCCTGCTTCTCCCTCTCGCCTCCGCGCTCTGACAACCCCCCTGCCCCCCGCCCCCCCCGCCCCCCCCCCCCGGCTCTGCGTCCATCCGGGGCTCACCTGCCTGTGTCCCGGCCCCACAGCGGCTGCAGCAGGAGAATCATGAGCTCCGCCGGGGTCTGGCAGTGCGCGGGGCCGAATGGGAGGCCCGGGCGGTGGAGCTGGAAGGGGACGTGGAGGCGCTGCGGGCCCAGCTTGGGGAGCAGCGCTCGGAGCAGCAGGACAGCGGGCGCGAACGCGCGCAGGCCCTCCGCGAACTCGGGGAGCAGAACCTCCGGCTGAGCCAGCAGCTGGCCCAGGTGGGGGGACCCCCGGCCACGTCCCCAGGCGGGGTGAGGGCGGGATGGGCGCGGGGGCGTTGAGCTTGGAGGTGAGGCCTGGCCCCGCTGAGGGCTCCGCTGCCTTCTGCCCCCAGGCCTCCCACACCGAGCAAGAGCTTCAGAGAGAGCTGGACGCCCTTCGGGGACAGTACCAGTCTCAGGTCCTGGCGGGAGCAGAGCTGAGGACACGGCTGGAGAGTCTGCAGGGGGAGGTGAGTGCCAGCTGGGGCTGGGGGCTGCCTGGGGCTGGCCCGCACCTCCTCTCCAGCCCTGAGGTCTCTCCCCAGAACCAGATGCTGCAGAGCCGCCGACAGGACCTGGAGGCCCAGATCCGAGGCCTGCGGGACGAGGCGGACGCGGGCCGGCGCCGGCTGCAGGCCACCCACGAGGAGCTGCTGGTACTGCGGCGTGAGAGGCGGGAGCATAGCCTGGAGGTGACCAGGGGGGCTGGGGTGGGGGGGTGCATCCGCTGGGGCACTGGCCACCGCCTGGGGGCTTCCTGGGAGCTCCAGAAGCTGGGCCAGGACAGCCTGGGCATTACCCTACGGGCAACCGGGAGCCTTGGAAGAGTATTGAGCAAGGCTGCTATGCTTCTAGAAGGCATCGGAGCCTGGCGGCTGGGAGACCAGGGCGGGCACTGAGGCCAGAGATGATGGGGAGTTCGTTCAGGTCTGGGGCAGTGGAGATGGATGAAGGAATGGAAAAGAGGCAGTATGGCCTCCTATTTGAGATCTTAGAAGTTTACACTTTGTGATCCAAAAAACGTAGGCTCTTAGCCCAAGATCCCTTTTTACTATTGTGGGCTGCCCAGCCTCAGTTTGCTTGTCTGTAAGATGAGATGGTTATAGCAGAGAGCTGCCCTGACGGTGAGGCGCTCAGCACAGCACCTGCTTAAAAAGATCAATAAACTTTGTTGGGGGCGCCTGGGTGGCTCAGTCACTTAAGTGTCTGACTTCGGCTCGGGTCATGATCTCACCGTTGGTGGATTGGAGCCCCGCGTCGGACTCTGTGCTGACAGCTCAGGGCCTGGAGCCTGCTTCAGACTCTGTATCTCCCTCTCTCTGACCCTCCCCTGCTCTCGCTCTCTCTCAGAAACAAATTATAAAACACTAAAAA